AGGGTTTGGAGAGCTTCCAGATAGCTGAAGATGTGAGGGTTTGTGGAGCATAAGGGGTGTAGACAAGGCTCTCGGCTCCCGGGGCCTTGCCATACAAATCTTTTCAGTAGCATCCTTTATGGTGAACCCGTGAGAATTTGTCCCCAGTCCTGATTCCTTTGAGGTGATCAGGCCCACGTGGGTGCAGAGTCAGAAACACAGTCAGGCAAGCAACCTGGGCCTTCACATCCGCAGCAGGGGAAGTTTGGGTGAGAAGTGAACTGAATGAGAGGGGCCGGGCTGTGTCTGCTGTTGCATAAGGAAATGCTCGGGGTGGGAGGTATGGCTCTGGTGGTAGAGCACCAGCCAATGAGCAAAAGCATCAGATACCGAGTGGAAGTTCTAGTCTCAGATAAAGAAAAGCAAGAAAGAAACAAAAGAAAATGCTTGCTTTCTACTGGGGAGAAATGATCATGCTTTTCAGGGCCAAAGCTTTTCTGTTGACTGTGGTGGAAATGTGGAGAAAAATCAGGGAATTTTGTTTGTCTTTACACATGGGCTGTAAGCTATTCCCAGTCCCGAGCCAGTGCTGGTGAACAGGAAAGTAGTGTCTGTGGGTGAGTGTTTCAAAATCCCATGATGAGTTCACTCTGAATTGAGAGTGGGTCCTAGAGCCAACACCAGTGTCTTCCTAAGCACCCCAGCTAGAGAAAACACAGTACACAGTGGGCACAGCCTGGGGATAAAGGCAGGGGGAGGCTGAGTATACATCGATAATCCCAAGAAAATCAAGAAACATAACTGCCTGAAGTGAGGAGAGGAGTGCAGAGTGGATCCCCATAGAAGCTGTGAATGTAAGCCACTGGGTGAGGCTAATTGTCCCAGCAGCCAGAGAACAGGTGCATCAAATTCTCGAATTGTGTTCACATGAAGGGAGAAGCAGCAGCGAGACCCTCCCTCCCCTGAAGAAACCAGGCTGGGAGCAAGGGACACCTGCCTAGGCCAGCCTGGGTAGACAGGTTCCTAACCCCAAAGCTCCGATTGCGACCACTGCAGTGGACTGCAAACTCTCTCCTGTGTGCTTCTACTGCCTAGCTCCAGTGCTCGGAGCACAGTTATGTCACGTGTGCTGAGTACAGTGATATCACTGAGATGAGCTAACCCTGGTGGGCACAGAAGTCCTCCTCCCCCAGGGCATGGCAGACCAGGAAGCTGCACTTAGGTGAAGAATAGGCCCCACACCCCAGGAAGGGGAAGAGTGACTGAGAGCTTCCCTGCAGATGATCCTCTCATCAAGGCATTTAAGTGTCTCTTTGGGATCACAATGGAACTGATGAACAGTTAGGTAAAAAATGCAGCTGGGCTTAATGACATGCACCTGAAATTCCAGCACTGAGGAGGCTGAGGCAAGAGGATACTAGGTTCAAGGCTATCTTGGACTACACAGTTAGTTGAGACCCTGTCTTAAAAAGCAAAAGAGGGGTTGGGGAGATGGCTCGGTGCTAGACTGCTTGCCTTGCATGCAGGAGACCCTGAGTTCGATTCCTCAGCACCACATATGCAGCAAAGGCTGGAAGTGGCACTGTGGCTCAAATGGTAGAGCCCTAGCCTTGAGTTGAAGAGCTCAGGGACAGTGCTCAGGCCGAGTTCAAGCCCGATCACTGAGCACACACACAAAAAAAAAAGAATAGAAAATGAGGGGCTAGGAAGGTAGCTCAGTGGTAGACCGATTGCCTTGCTTGCATGATGACAAGGATTCAATTCCTCAGCATCACCTAAGCAGAAAAAGCCAGAAGTCGTGCTGTGGCTCAAGTTGTAGAGTGTTAGCCTTGAGCTGAACAGCTGAAGAACATCACCTGGCCCAGAGTTTAGGCCCCACAACCGACAGAAAAAAAGCAATGGAAAATGAAATATGGAGGCATATTCTCAAGAATATGTAGGTCCTTGAACACCATATCTACTGTAGCACTATTCACCACAGCCAAGAAACAACCCAGAAGCTCCATGGTGTCTGCAGAGAAATATGTGAAACGAGATCCACTAATATAGCTTATGGTTATTAGATTTGAACTACTTTAATCATGGGATAATCTTATGTGTAAGTATAAGATTTCATAAATGACTAACTATATGAAGATGTAATAGTCACACTGCAAACATTTTGCATCCCTTTTGTGACCTAATTTTACAAATATTTAAAATTGTGTTGCATTTCTGTTTTGCTGGTTAATAAAAAGATAATTCACACACACACACAAAAGGCATAGCCTATTTCCATCACAAAGTACGACTAGGCCAGGAACAAGAAGGAAATCCTGTCATTTCCTGCCACATCTCTAGAACTACAGATCACTGTGGAAAATGCAAGAAGTCAGACACAGAAAGGCAAATGCACTTTCTTGAAACAGACAAGAACAGGGCAGAGGAATTGTCAGGAAGACCAGAAGGGTCCAGGTGAGGAAGTCCAGGAGTCACATGCAATGAGGTTGACCAGAAACCCAGGGTGAGGAGTCACTGCTGATCCTCTCTTGAGCACAGTGACAAATTTCTGCTTCAAAATCACCACTGATAACGATGAAAATGAGTAGGGAATTAGAGAATGAAGCTACCTCCGCAGAAATGACCAGGCAAGAAAAGAGATCACTTATCACCCTGCTTTCAGGAATATTCAGGAAATGTTTACCTCTAATCTCCAAATGGGGTCTCTAGTGATGAAAACATTTTTAGAAAAAAATGGCCATTATTGCTAAAGAAATTCCTGCACAGAAATGTCTCATTCTATTTCCTTTCTTCTTGTGTGCCAGTCCAGGAGTTTGAACTCTGGGCCTGGATGCTGTTGCTGAGCTCTTTTATTCCAGACTGGCACTCTACCACCAGAGAGTGGAGATAAGAATTGGAGATAAGAATCTCATGGGCTTTCTTCACCAGGCTGGCTTTGAACCTTGATTCTCTGATATCAGGCTCCTGAGATTGCATCAGTACAGGGTTTCATTTTTGTTTTCTAACAACATATATGATGATAAAACAAAAGCAGACTGAGATGAGGAGGGCTGGGAAGGTAGCTCAGTGGTAGAGTGCTTGCCTAGCATGCATGAAGCCCTGGGTTCAATTCCTCAGCAGCACATACATAGAAAAAGCCAGAAGTGGTTCTGTCGTGCCAATGGTAGAGTGCTAACCTTGAGCAAAAGCAGTTCAGGAACAGTGCCCAAGCCTTGAGTTCAAGTCTCAGGGGAAAAAAAGGGAAGGGACACTTTGGGTAAGGAATTTTGGGGGCACATGGCTTACACAGCACTGAGGTTGTTTACAGACAGTCATTTCTGGTTGGGCCTCAGTGACTTCTGCTGGCCTACTGGGATCCAGGAGAGATAAGCGACTGCACCACTCACTTCCCCCCTGGAGAAGCACCCACGAGAAAGTGAAAAGTGTCGTGATAATTGTCACATGGGGGAAAAGAAAAAGTTTACTGAGAACTTGGCTTGTCACACCAGGTGAAGGGAAAATCACGGCTCCCAGTGGAGACGACCTCAGCTGCTGCCCTCCTGGACTCCTATCTAAGGAGCCCTCTGCAGCTCTGATGTGCCCATGTGCATCTCAGAAATGACCGCGCTGCCACGCACATCCTGAGAGAAGAGGCGAGCACTTGTGTTCACTGCCACTGGAGAAGCCCAGCCTGCAGGAGAGACCCCAGGTTCCACACTCTGGGTAAGGGATCACCTTAGGAGCAGGGATTCCAGATTCAACCCGGTTGCATGACAAAGCCACAGGGAAGGAAGGAATGGGCTAGGACAGTGAAAAGAACTGGGGTTCTTGGCCCCTCACCCCCAAGCCCTGTTGGTTCCTAACTACTTCTCCCTCACAGAGACTGTCCTGGTTTATGACAAGTGAGGATGAAACCTGATTGTCCAGGGGCTGGGGACGATGTGTTCACATAAGCGACTCTAGAATGGCATTTGAACCTAAAATTGCACCTTTTCTATCTCTGCCATCCACCTCCTCCTTCACCCGCTCCATCCCCACCGTAGACCTGGTTCATCTTCCTGGTATTTCTTCTGTGAAATGTGGGCTCTGTGTTGAGGAAAGTGTGACACCTGTGATCCACTCCCACGCCCAGCGTATTGAGGTATAAGTGTATGTGATCCTGGGAACGTGTCACCCATGTTTCAATTTTTTTTTTTTTTGGGTCCAGTCGTGGGCATGAACTGTGGGCCTGGTCGCTGTCCCTCAGCTCTTCAGCTCAAGGCTAGCGCTCTAAAACTTGAGGCACAATGCCACTTCCAGCTTTTATTTTCTGCTTATGTGGTGCTGAGGAATCAAACCCAGGGCCTCATGCATGCAAGGCAAGCACTCTACCACTGAGCCACCTTCTCAGCCCCTCAAATATTTTCTTTAGTCAGTCAGAGAGCTTGAATTCAGGGCTTGCCCATGTTCCTTCAGCCCTTATTGCTCAAGGCTAGGCCTCTACCACTTTGAGCCACAGGTCTACTTCCGGTTTGCTCGTGCTTAGCAGGAGAGAAGCATCTCCCAGACTTTACGTCTCTGGGCTGGCTTTGAATTGGGAATCAAAAGTCTTGGCCCTTGAATAGCTAAGATTACAGGCTTGAGCCAAGAGGGCCTTGCTTGTTTAGATCTGATTCTATGGAGGAGAAAAGCAGCCGCCTTCATCTCAGAACCTGACTCACCTTCCCTTAATGCCATTTCTCCAGGCTCACCCATTTCCCTGAACATGCCATCTTCCTCTTCCCGATGGATGAACAGAATTGGATTTTTCTTAATACATGAGAGACAGTAGGAGAGTATTTCCAGTGGTCTGAATGCTGGATGGAGAATGTTGAGTTCCCTTGGAACCATGCAGGCCTCAGTTTCCCAAGCCAGAGCCTCTGGATGAGACTCAAGGAACAGAGAGGATGGGAGATGCCCATGTGTCTATGGGGGTGATCCTCTTAGCCCAGACTGTGGTCGGGTTTTTGGGTAATTTGTATCTTCTCTCCAATTGTCTATTCCTTTCCTGCATGGGGAACAGGATGAGAGCCACAGATTTGATTCTTAGGCACTTAATTGTGGCCAACTTCCTAAGTCTTCTGTGTAGGGGTGTTCCCCAAACCATGGTGGCTTGGGGCTGGAGAAATTTCTTCAATGATGTGGGGTGCAAAATGGTCTTCTATCTTTACCGAGTGTGCAGGGGTGTGTCGATCGGTAGCACTTGCTCCCTGAGCATCTTCATTGCTGTCAGCATCAGACAGGGGGACTCCAGGTGGGCAGGGCTGAGGTGGAGAGCCCACAAGCACATTGCCTCAAATGTCTATCTCAGCTGGGGGGTCTTCCTCTTGGTGAGCATTGTTTTTCTCATGTACATGACCGACCCAAAGCACACTACAACATGACAAGCTTAAACGCCTATGGATACTGTTCTTCCGTGATCCACGACCCTGCTGCTGATGTACTGTATGTGGCCATGCTCTCGGTGCCTGATGTTCTCTGTCTGGGGCTCATGCTCTGGGCCAGCACCTCCACGCTATTTGTTCTGTACAGACACAAACAGAGAATGGGACATATGCAGAGGACCAGTGTCTCCACCAGAGCATTTCTCGAGTCCAGAGCTACCATAACCATCCTCCTCCTGGTGATTACTTTTGTCTCCTTTTACACCATGTCCTGCATCTATCAGATTTCCTTGTCTGTGATTTACAACCCCAGTCCTGTGTTGCACCATATAGGGGTGTTTGCTATGAGCTGTTTCCCATCCCTCAGCCCTTTCCTGCTCATGAGCGGACACTCCACTTCTTGCAGCCTCTTCTTCACCTGCACAAAGAAGAAGAAAGTGGTCCTCCCCTGAGGACCACCAAGCTTGCATCTCTGCTGAACTTTGCTTGGCCATTCAACAATCTCCACACCTAGATAAAAGTCATCTGCTGAGAGATGGAGGTGTGTACACATGACCACACCTGCCCATTTGTGTGCTCTATATCTGTGTGTATGTTCATCTGTCTCTATTGTGCTGGCCCACAAAACTATATGAAAGTGAAAATGTTAGATTTTGAAATAATGTTTATTAGATCATGTCAATTTCCTCCAGAGAATCTGCTCCATTAAGTGGTGGTCATGTCAAGTTCAAGATAAACTGGTTAAACTCACCTAACATGTTTTCCTAATTCCATTTTGAATCTTTGATTTTTTGTTCTTTCTGTCTTTAATAGTTCCTTATGCAATGAAGCAAATCATTCTTAAAGCCCTTTCTGTTCTGGAGAGGAAAGAAGTTGGAAATAAAATAGCAGCTGGGTGTTGGTGGTTGATGCCTGTGTTCTGAGTTCCTGAGGAGGCAGGACCTAAGGATCACATTTCAAACCAGTCCAGGCAGAAAACTCTCTGAGACTCTCATCTCCAGTAAACCAATAAAAAAAAGATGGAGGTGGGGCTGTTCCTGAAGTGGTAGAGCATTAGCCTTGAGCAAAATCATCCCAGGGATAGAATGGAGGCCCCAGGACTGGCACAAAGAAGGAAAGAGAGAATGATGGACACAGACATACAGACAGATAGAGACAGACAGAGAAGAGAGATGGCAAGCCAGCAAAGAAGAAGGAAGCAAGGAAGGAAAGAAGGAAGGAAGGAAGGAAGGAAGGAAGGAAGAAAGGAAGGAAGGGAGGGAGTTCTGCTGGTGTAGCTCTGACCACAAACATCAAGGCTCCTTCCTGACAGTTAATCCCTTAATCTTGTGTGTGCTTATTTCTTACACATAATTTATTTTCACCACTCTTTATTTTCCTTGGCGGTCTATGTTACATATCTCTAGACTCTCTTCTAATTCAACAAGGACATTAAGTGTACTTATGAAAAGCATATTTTTTAATGTAAAGTTGTTTTTCAAACACCAAGGCTCCTTGAGAAAGTCCCTTGCTTGGCTATTGTGACATTTCCTGCAGTGTTCCTCATGTCCCTTGGTATGAGGTCACTTTACCACAGCCTCTGGGGTAAAGGTCAGGGCTGCTGTACTCAATGACAAGAGGAGCCTCCTGTCCTTGGCACTCCACCTCCACCCTTCTCAGGAATGAATTGCAGGGTGACAGCAAGCCAGAAGTAGCACTGATGTCTCGGGGACAGTCACCAGCCCTGAGCACAAAAGCTCAGGGACATGCCCCAGGCCCTGAGTTCAAGTCCTGGGATTGGCACAGAAAAGGAAAGCAAGCAGACGGCAGGCCTGCCTCCAGGAGCCATCCAGGGACTATGCCAGGTATTGAGTGGGCTCTGAGCCAGGCTCTCCTCCTGATTCTGAAATTCTCACAGCCACCCCACCACAGAAAGGCTTGAACCACAGGCCCCACCGTCCCTGCACTGCCTCCCCCCACACTTGCTTCAGCCAGATTCCCTCCACACCCCACGCCATTAATCCAGCCCAAAGTCATTCCACCCAGCACACTTGTGCTCTGGGCTCCATGGGGAGCTGTCTAGTGTCATCATTAACCTCACGCACACCTGGTCCTCTCCTGACCCCTGGTATTCCCGTCCCCAGAGATCCTACCAGTCTGTATCACCTTTGAGAGCGTGGATATGGACTTAGCCTCCTGGCCTAGGGGCAGGGCGCATCCTCCATCAGCTCCTTTCCTTGTGAGGGGACACAGGCTTTCCCTGCCCTCCACCACACCCCCTCTCAGCACCCGCTTCCCAGGAGCACCTCACCCTCCACCACATGACACTGTCTTGAGCATGATCCAAATCTAAGGCAACCCACGCCCGGCGCTTCCCTCCCCTACAGCACTCAGCAATGCTCCACGCGCTTTTCCTCTTTTTTTTTCTTTGCTCAGTCATGGGGCTTGAACTCTGGGCCTAGGCTCTGTCTCTCCCTCACCTCTTCAGCTCAAGGTTAGGCTCTGCACCCCACACACACCTGTAGTCTGCTGGAAACACAGCCTCCCGTAGTCATGCTGACATGCAGCCCTGCCTGGACTCGTTACTTCTGGGGAGTTCACACATTCAGGATGTCTGCCTCCATCTCTGTCTCCTCCTTTCTTCCTGAGCACCCTCAGTTCTGTGCCACCATCTTGTACAATCCCTTTCGTGTTCCCTGTGTCCATTCCACTCAGTGGCTGGACCCCCCGACTCCTGCTCCCCCGCCGGACACCTGCCGGCCAGAGCTCACAGCCACTCCTGACTTGGCTTCATTCACTGCAGCACCTGGTAACTATGCTCAATATGAAGGAGGGATGAGACACTCTCACCTCTCACTCGTGGGGATGACTTGACGCTCCTGACAAATCCTTCCAGGAAAAATGGGTTGTGACACAAAGGTGCGACTCAGCCTGTGAACTGGCTGGGAGGTTAGCAACCCCCTCCCCCCACCCTGCATCCTTAGCTTAAGGGCTCCAGCCTCACCCCTTGTGCACCTCCTGCTGGTAGAGCCATACTCAAAAAAACACGTCTGGCGAATCGCTGCCATTGCGATCAAAACAGCAGAATCCAGAAGGGCCAAGAAAGACCTGGGGAGGTTTTGGGGGGAAGCGCTCACGCCAGGTCAGATCTGGGAGTAACCATTGACTGACTGCTAGCACAGGCACCATCTGACTTCTGTTCCTGGGTCACACCCGAGTCCTAGCATGATGTTGGCCACTATTGTACACTGCACACACCTTACCTTGTCAGGTCCCTACCAGACTGTATCTACCTTCCCATTGTTTCTACTTCATTAAAATCCCTAACTACTCACTTCTTACAGCTGATAGTGCCTTGGCGGAGAAACCTTTAAAGCAGAGGGATCCTTGTTATAATGACTTTTTGTGGGGGATGGGGGCAGTGGAAAATCATTAGTGGGGCTTGAACTCAGAGCCTGGGTGCTGTCCCTCAGCTCTTTACTCATGGCTAGTGCTCTACCACTTGGAGCTTAGTGCCACTTCCAGTTTCCTGGGGCCCTTGCACCCTGGGATCCCAGCCCCAAGATGCACAAGCTAGCTGTCAGTACCCAGAGTTTTCCCATATGGCCAGCAAAGAGAAAAGGATATGAGCTGGGGGTGGGTGGGGGAGCACTGAGTGACAGGGCCACTCTACACCCCTCAGGGAATGGAGACTGAGTCCCATCCTATACAACACAGTGGCATGCAGATTTCCTGCTCAGGTACAGCTTACACTCTCAGCACTGTTCTCTGACAAAAATCCTTTTCTATCTGTTCAGACTCAGTTCAGCTACTGCCTCCTGGAGTCTTTGCAGGCTGTCCCTCCCCCAGCCTCCCCACAACCTCCGGCCCTTGTGCCCAGCTCCCACCCGAAGACAGTGCCAAGCCCAGCCACAGTCTCAGGCCTCAGGGCTAGGCAGGCCAGGCTGGGGCACCGGCGTTCACGGGGATTCTTCATTTCTGACCTAGGACTCACCACAGGAAGAGAAGCACCCAGGGCTCAGAGCACTAACTACTGAACTGCGACACTACACTGCTGTCCTTTAAGATGCCAGCCTGGCATTTTGCTCTAGCCCACAATTATGCTGCAGTAATCACTCACAAAACCAATCCTGCATGTTCTGCAGGCGTGAGGCCGAGGCTTCTGCTTTTCTGTGTGGACAGCACCTCGTTTTTCCAAAGACACGGCACCTGACACATGCGACTGGAGAGGCTCCCAGGCAACAAGTCCAGAGAAGAAGGAACCTAACGCCCATTGGGACTCTGACCCCAAGTGTCTGTATTCCCCCGGCGGTTCTTGGTCTGAAGCTCCCACATTCCCCCCATCCCAAGCCCCAGTTCTTTCCATCCAGGCAGGCAGAACATTGTCTGATGAGACTGTCCTCACAGCCTAGACTTATGTGTTAATGGACTGAGTGCTCTCCATGTCTCTAGTATGAGTCACACGACTGTTTCCACCTTGCAGAGCCCAAGGCAGGTCTCAGGCTGGGAGTCTCACTCCAGGGCTGTGGCTGCCTTCCTGCAGACTTCCGAGAGGACATCCTGCCTCCACCTTCCTCTTCCTCAGCCTTCCCGTCAACACAGTCATGCAGTACATAAAGCTTGTCTACCTGCACCTCAGCCTCTGTACACCATCATCCAAGGCCCCTGCCGTGGGCTTCTCTTATTAAGCAGAAGCCATCTCCAGGCACCGCCACTGCACAGGGCCCCAAGAGTCCCCACCTGTAAGGAAGGAGAAGAGTTCACTTCGGGTTCTTTCCACTCCAAGGACCAAGGCGATGGTGGACAGCTTCTTGGTGCTGTTGAGGTGAAGCTGAGGAAAGAATAAGGAGGGAAGGAGAGGAGTTCACTTTGGGTTCTTTCCACTCCAAGGACCAAGGCGATGGGGGACAGCTTCTTGGTGCTGTTGAGGCGAAGCTGAGGAAAGAATAAGGAGGGAGAATGTCAGTAATCCCAGACGCAAGGGAGCTCCACAGTGCTGGAGCAGACGTTCCGCACACCCACCATGCCCTCCTCTGACCTGGAGCACACAGTTCAATAGAAACAACACACTTTCCAATTTCTCATAAGATCACACACGCTGCCCACCACTGGCTACTACACCACATACTCCACTTAGTAGCAGCGGCAGCATAGCATGCATTCATGCATGCTCTGGGCCTGGACCTAGACAAGGCACACACACCTGTGACCTCACTGAACCCTCAAAGCAATCGTACAAGGTGCGAAGCTGGCTCACAGCGTCAATCCTGTGAGGCGCAGCACAAGGCAGAAACTCTGGCCAGCTCACGGAGCTAAGAGGACGGCTGGTGGAACAGGCATTTAAACACAAGACTCGTGGCTAATGGTGATGATAAGAGAACAAACAATAGGATGCTATTACTACAAAAACAAAAGTGAGGTATGCTGATGCACACCTGTAATCCCAGTACTCAGCAGACTGATGTGGAAGAAT